CAGACTAGCTTTACGTGAGGCTCACACACACACATGGATGGAAGATGTTGATGCTGATGAATTGCTGCTTTCAGCTGTAGAATTTAATTATTCTCTTTCTCCACAGCTGGCGTTATTGTGTGGTGATGTGTTTGTCTTCCGACACCTCGGGGGGAAGGATGAAATGAATTTTCTACGTTCACAGTGCCAAAGGGACAGTTTGAATAAGAAATGCTGCAATAAGACCTGAATGACTATGTCCTTTGGCATGAATGATGAATCCAGGTTCTTTAGATCTTGTTTTCTAGCAGCACTTATAGACTGGAAGCATTTCTTTAAAAATGTTATAGGAAAAAATTACACTAAAGTTAGGTCTGTTTTGACAAAGAAAGAAATGAGCTCATTTATAGTGGCTGATTTCTAGCCTGTGCTCCTGAAGCCTTACCCTTCACTTTTCCAGGCTGGTGGGGTCACTAATCCTACTCATTTTCAGTTTGTCAGTCAATAATCACTTACGTGGCACTACGTCTTTGGAAATGACATCTGAGACAAGATCTGATGTGCAGTCTTCCTTCCACAATGCCTTCCTGAATACTAGTCTGAGGCAGCTGAAAGGACCGAATGCTCTCTGCCTGATAATGACACGTTCACCAAGCTTGTCGTAAAGAAGGTTTTGGGGAAGTTTACAACACTGCTATGCAGGAAATGTCTCTACTTCGATGGCATAATGAAGTCATATGAAGCAGAACAGTCCCTGCCATGGGACATTATTGAGAGTCAACATTCTTCTTTTTGCTCTAAGCCATTTTAATTGTATCACAAGCAGAGACCATCTGGCTTAAGAACAGATATTCACTGTCTAGCAGAAGCAGAAATACTTGGGAGGGAAATGGTACATTCCTGGCTTCCAGCTTGGACAGTACCCATCACTAAAACTAGTGTTTTGCACAGCTGGTTAAATTGCAATTTGCTGCCTGACGAATGCCTTTTTAGGCTATTATCATCATATTAATCAGTTATTGTTTACTAGTTTGGACTTTATTTCTTCAAAAAGATCACATTATGTGGGAAATTCCTAAGGGATAACATATTTCACTGCACTCTGCAGAGGACTGTGATAGCTCGTCAGCTTTTATTTACTGAGAAGTCACAGGGGTAGAAATCAATCCACTATTTTGAGGAATAAACATAATTTCTCCCTTGGATATGGCAGGTGCACTCCCTCTTTACTAAAAACGTGGAGAAAACACTTGAAAAATGGAAATTTAAAGACCAAGTACAACAGCAGACATTAAGTTTCCTGAGAGAGAATTGAGCTGAAAAAAAAAAAATGAAACCATCACTAAAGGGCAGGCATTCATTTCACAAACCTTGTGACTGTCACCAGATCCTTTAGCTTGACTTGTCTTATTACAGGAATAACTCTCACTGCAAACAAAACAAAACAAAACAAAACAAAACAAAACAAAACAAAACAAAACAAAACAAAACAAAACAAAACAAACTGATTTGGCAAAAAATTTTTCTGAGCTACATATGAAGACCAGAAGACAACGTTTCACAGCTATGAAAAATTTAAGCTGTTAAGACCTTGAGTAAATTATATGTACGTATCATGGCCTCTTTACGAGACTGTAGATTTATTGGTTTAAGTACCTAAGTGTCTTGGGGCAGCTCTGAGGCAGATGTTGAGCCAACAGCCTTGTCTGACACACTGAACCACCTCAAATACAAGCAGCCCAGCAAGAGTCGGGGCCCTGCTGCAGTCCCTGGGAGGAATTTCACCTGAATGCAACCGGGACCAGCGCTGGCAGAAATGCATTGAAAGGTAGTGAAGGCTCTTCCACAGTATTTTGGAATTACATCAAACAACATGTTGGGTCTCTCCTGAGGGAAAGTGATGTGATAAATCTGTGATGCATTTCCTCACTGGATCTATCCAAGCTGTGTTGGCTCTCACAAGTGCCAAGTTGCAGTGGGTGAAGCAATTTCCTGCACATGTCTAGAAACCACTCCAGGATACTTAAGGATGATAGAAGTTAGTTGAGACAGTATGATTAGAGAGCTATCACCTCATTTTCACTGCATTAACTGCCATAATCCAAAAAGGAAGATTCATATATGTGCACTCGGGAATGAAATTCCAGGGAAGAAGAAATCCATAATACCAACTATCAGTTAATATTATCAGACACTTGAATTTTCTTGTACTTGTTTTCTTACTTGTATCAGAGGAAATTTACCCTGGTGCACGAGACCAACACAAGACCCACTCAGGCTTGAATGCTGGATACTCTGGCAATTGGTACAGCGCTACTGAAATCACCGGGCAGGCTTTCAACATGAGCTTGCTCTGGAGCTAAACATTACCTTCAGATGTAGTTCTACCAGAGCTGAACGGGGCAAACCTGTGAGATTAAGTGCTCCTAAATTTGAGAAAGGAAGGCAAAGTCAATCCTGAATACATAAACCTATCTTAAGCATTAAGCAAAGAGAAATTGGAGTGGTAACTCAGAAGTCTAAGGAGGAAGGGAAGAGTGATGATGAGAGTTTCCCTCACCTTTGGCTTATAAAAAAAAAACATTGAGTGTTATATAAAATGTGACAATCTCAAGCTCAACAGCTGAAGCCTTCAGTTATCCAGTAAGTTTCAATCCAGTAAATTATTCAGTAAGATTCAATGTTACTGATGCGTTTGCTTTTCAGGCAGTACAGATACTGCACTTCCATGCAAGTCAGAATGTGTCTGTAACCTGTTGCAAGGCAGAATTCCTTCATAAAGGCGTACCTCATCCAAAGAATAGGAAGTGATCAGGAACTATTGATGGCATTACTATTAGAGCTGTAAGTATGAACCTCCCTCCTGTTGGAGAGCAGTTCTGGGGAAAGGACCTGGGAGTCCTAGCTGATAGCAGGACTACCATGAGCCAGCAGTGTGCTCTTGCAGCCAAGAAGGCCAACGGCATCCTGGGGTGCATGAAGAGGTACATGGCCAACAGGTCGAGGGAAGTCATCCTCCCCCTCTACTCTGCCCTGGTGAGGCCCCACCTTGAACACTGTGTGCAGTTCTGGGCTCCTCAGTTCAAGAAGGACAAAACACTTTTGGAGAGGGTCCAGAACAGGGCTACTAAGATGATCAAGGGCCTGGAACACCTGTCATATAAGGAAAGGCTCAGGGGGCTGGGGATGTTTAGCTTGGAGAAGAGGAGGCTGAGGGGGCATCTTATTAATGCTTATAAATATCTAAAGGGTGGGTGTCAGGAAGATGGGGCCAGGATCTTCTCAGTGGTGTCTGGTGACAAGGCTAGGGGCAACGGCCACAAGTCAGTGAACAAAAGGTTCAGCCTGAAGATATGGCAGAACTTCTTTACGATGAGAGTGACAGAGCACTGGGAGGGGCTGCCCAGGGGGCTAGTGGAGTCACCATCTTTGGAGATTTTCAAGGCCCGCCTGGACGTGTTCCTGGGTGATGTACTCTAGGGGATCCTGCTCTGTCAGAGAGGTTGGACCAGATGATCTTTTGAGGTCCCTTCCAACCCCTAACATTCTGTGAATCTGTGAAATCCAAACTCACGTCATGTGTGTTCAGTGATACGCCATTCTAAATATGGTCAATGTAACCCAGAAGTGGCTCCCTGGGCACACAAATAAAACTGGATGGAACTGAGTGCTGTAAATAAGAAGAGCCTCAATTCTCACACTTGGACGTAGGAAATTTGTCAGAATTTTATCAGAACTTTCTGGGTCTAGAGGAAATGCTGAGCACAACCTAAACACCTACATGAAACTGTTATGTTAGCAAGGTGAAGCAAGTCCAATGAAAAGATTCCACCACTCGAGACTGATATTTAAAATGGCACTCACAAGAGGCAAAACAAGTTTAATATATACCATCTGGCAAAGCTGCATTCAGCTTCTTTAAGAATGCATTACATATTATGAGCATTCCTATTACAATTTTGTTGCAATATTCAAGGTGTACTCAGAAGATACTATTAATTTTTTTAAATACGGGTTTATTTGTTTGCATCTTATTTTACAGCCACTCTTCCAGCCTCCAGTTTAATTTCTAAAATTAAAGCTAGTGATATTTCCATATCAAAGTTCAAAATTAATTTGCTTTGTAGGACATGCCCCTTGATCTAAAATACTTCATTTTAATTAGGACATTTAATTTTCTCTAATGGAATCAGGTTCTATTCACTTAATTCAAAACTACTTTCTGAAAGAGTTATAAGCAGTACATTTTCTCAGCACAAGTCCTCCTAAGGCTTCTCCACATGAGGAGATTGCACCTACGCAGCTGAACTGATTTCACATTGATCTACTTACACCACTGTAAAATGTTACTGAAGTTAATTGTAACTGGGTCTGCCCCACTTCTGGACTGGTTTTACCAAACAGCTTTAAGTTTCCTAATGCAGACCAGAAATATATAATAGAAAATCAGGTACCATTACAAGCATGTGTTAGGATGAAAAAGCTAACTAAACATTGTCCCACTTCCTAGAGCACAAGTACCTGGACCCTCACAGCCTGAAGCATGGCCAGTTCCCACCACGATTTGTGTATAGCCTCCTTCTTCCCTTTGCCCTCCTCTCTTACAGAGAAAGAAGGTTGCATACACGTAGACCTTGCCAGATCCCGTCTGCTTCTCATTAAGAGGATGCACACCACATTTCTGAGGATCACTTTGCACATTCTGTCTCCATGTTAGAATGATGCTCTGCCCCCTATGCACGCACAAAGGCACACAGATCAGGGTAGAAATAATCTGTGCATGGGCACAGGCAGTGAAAGGCATTCCTATCCCTTACTGTGAGAGCTTGCTCCCTCCACTTAAAATAAGTGTTTGTTCTGGGCTAGGCCTGTCTTTAGCAATTTCGTAGATCCTATCAACAGAAAGAAATGCAATAAATACTCTACATTATGACAAACTCCAAAACACCTTCAGCTCAGTGCTGATTCCAGCTCTTACAATGCAGGGTCACGGCAATAAAATTATTTTAAAAACTGCCTACCTTGAAAAATAGCCAGGCTGTCATCCATTTGGCCACTTTAACAACCCAAACGACATGCTTGTAGAGATCGGTATTCACTACTCCAGGGTCTACTACATTAGCAGTCACATGGCTTCCATTTGCAGTCAGAAGATGCTGCAGTCGATAGGTAAATAACACAAGGGCAAGTTTGCTTTGGGCATAGGCTCCATGGGGTGAATACGAACATCTGTATATGAGAGAGAAAGAGAGAGGGAGATGCACACAAAAATAACCAGAAGGAAAACAGAATTGCACAAACATTAAACCTACTGCACTTTGCAATATCCAGCAAACAAACAGCTATACACTGAGTTGTCTGAAGAAACAGCTTATCACCGGCAGGTGTGTTGTTTGCTGGAGTTCTGGGGATTAATCTCTCAGACACTAAATCTGATTTATAGCAGGGAAAAAAAAAAAAAAAAAACAAAACACGACCAAAAAAAAAACCAAAAAGACCTTTAAAGATCATCTAGTCACAGTACCTGGCAGAATCTCTGTGTCAAACTATTTAAACTAGAAATGCTGAGGCACCAGTGTCCAGGATATCATCATCTAGAGGCTCTCAAACTACTCTCCTCTTCCTCAATTCCCACTTCCCACACATATGTACCCTCTCCCCACCCAGTAAATCTCTGCCTGATCATACTACTCCTGGTTGTTATTATTATTTGTATTGCAGCATGACCTACTAGTTTCTGATGAAGGCTCCTGTGGTGGGCATGGAACAGATGAGTCAGGCAACCATTGCACCTGCCCCAGTGACACATCAGACTCCACACAGCTGAAGAGATGGATAAAGAGATGGGGCAAGGAAAGCGGCTACAAGTGTAACCACAGTTATGCCATATACAGCCTTCAGGGCAAAGGCAGCTGGCTGGGTCTGTGCCACTCGGGAGGTTCGATCAAGGCACACAAACACTGGGAGTTACAGTAAAACGCTGTTTGTTGTGCCTCCTATGCACCTCACACGTCTGGATGCTGAATCTGCCTTTCCTTCAAGTCTAGCTTTCTAGGAACTACTGATTTGTTGGGTTTCACTGTATGCAAGTAGCAGTATTTTTTTTTTCTAAATAAGCAGGTTAGTTCCAGCCAAATCAGCAGGTATGTCACTTAAAGTGCTCCTCCCAACTGGGGCCTCGGCATCACTTCCACAAATCTTTATGCCATGACAATTCACTCTTGTAATTACTACAGCCTCTCATCTAACCTTTTTTGTGCAGAACTAAAGGTAATACCTGGCATTACAGACAGCTCATAGGCAAAGCAGACAGGAGCCTAAAGCCAAGTGGCTCCTGGGTGCAGCAAAACAGCTCAGGTCCCCATCCCCTTTGGCTCTGCCAGAGCCTGCGGAAGCAGCGCTGCTTGCTGCTGCTGCCGATATAGAGCCAAGGGTTAGGGCAGCAGCTACTGCTGCTGGAGGGAGATAGAGGGCCAACGACCCAGGAGCAGTTCTCTCTTTCCCAGCCCTCTCCTTCCCCCTAGTTGTTGTCCTGCCTCTGCGACAGTTGCAGCTGCGGTTCCATCCTCTACACCTTTGCACAGCAAACGCCCAGGCTGGGGATGTTCCTGCTTTCTTGAAAAGGCCACCTTTGGTTTTCTGTGGTTGTTAATACCTGAAAGGTTTTTATTCTGAACGAATAGCAAATGTGTCTCAGAGTTCTCTTTGTTATCTCATTTTCACTGAATACCTTATTTATAATATCCTGTACACTTCGACACAGAAAGCCCTGGGTGCTAACAAACAGGCTGACTCTCTGCAGAGGTATAAGGCTACTGAAGCAATGTAGCTGTTCATGTTATCTGAATGGACTCAGAAACTTGGAGTCACAATGGCAAATCACAGAGGTCAGCTACAGGAAGTAAAAGACAATACTGAATCTCCAATGAATCTCTTGGGTTTTGTTTTTCCCCTGCTCCATCCTTGTTCAAGCAAATCACAAACAGGCTAGAAAAGCATTACATAAACTGAGAAAGAATAAAAAAGGACAGCTGATCATGAACAACCCTTGGATCAACCAATGGCCTGAGCTGTAACATGCTGGGTAACGTAGCTACACCTTCACCTGTGCCTCGGGGTAAACTGGGCTATTTTAAGAATAAAGAACAATCACTGCATGAATATAAAAGTGACATGGCATTAGTCAGGAAATTGCAGTTACATTTTAAATTTGGTAATGTCCGGGCTCTGATCTGAGACACTCAAAATGTCACCTTATGCTTCATGCATATTTCAACCCTTTTAACTTGAAGGACCAGATCCTCAGCCGCGATGAGCTTCACTGCGCAGCCGTGCAGGGCAGAGCTCACGCCATGGGAAGAAGCACTCATCCAAAGTTGCCTCCGGCAGCCAGCTGGCAGCCAACCCTGGCACCTCTCCACCAGTGCCACCATTTCCCTGCTGGTGGAGAATGCAAGCTGGGGCACGGGACAAGCTTCCCGAGTAGAATTAGAGTGATCTCGTCTGGCAAGCAGCTGGCAGGGGAGCAGGGCTGGGGACTACTCTGACTTGTTCTGCCTGGGTCTACTCTGGCCTTCAGTAACTTTCAGATGCCAGGCAAAAGGATGGTGAACGCTCCCCATGGCTTCCCATTCCCACATTTTGTGTGAGTGCTGTTTTGACTTACCTTGTGGCAATGAAGCGTGAACTACAAGGGCCGGATTCTCAAAAGACTTGTACTTTGCATAGATAGCTATGTCAGGGAAACATGAGTGCTGAGAAGATATAAAAAGCTGTCCGATCAGTGCGGAAGCCTTTTATATCACAGTGCAGAGATGCAAATGAATTGCAAGGCAGCGGGGAATCAGACTTCAATAGCACACTATAGATAAGAAGGATATAAAATTGGATACACAGAGCAGACACTTTAGGTGGAACTCCTGCAATGATTACCTGCCCTCTTTCCATTTACTCTGTGTGTGCTTTTTGCTTTCCAGCCATCTGGCATCAATGGACTACATAAGACAGAGGAATAACCTGTGACACAGAACTGACAAGGATTTTCATTGAACAACTGTTTTGTTTGTGAGAACCGATCCTATTAGAATCACGTTGTTTAAATGCCATGTTGAAAAAAAACCAAAACCCAGCACTAGTTACATGATGTCATTGCACCCAGTCTCCACTTTATGCATCAGAAAAATAGGATCACAGAGGCTCCGGTACCTGTCACACGATTCCATCTCTCCTGCACATATGTGTGGAATCAGAGAATGATTTGGGTTGGAAGAGACCTTTAAAGATCATCTAGTTCCAGCCCCCCTGCCATGGGCAGGGACACCTTCCACTAGACCAATTGGTTCAAAGCCCCATCCAGCCTGGCCTTGAACACTTCTAGGGAAGGGGCATCCACAACTTCTCTGGGCAACCTGTTCCAGTGTCCCACCACCCTCATTGCAAAAAAAAAATTGTTACTTATGTCCAATCTGACTCTACCCTCTTTCAGTATAAAACCATAAAATGTATTTCTCTTACGTGTGGTGTTATCTGGCTTTAAAGCCTATGCATCTAAAACTAACCTCTCTTGGCACTCCAAGATCTGTATGGACAATTTCTCACCAAAAGAAAGTATAATTGCACACTAAATAAAATAACACTGACATTCCATATTTCCACTTTGCTTTCACTTTCTGAAGGCTCTAAAAGCTTTCTGAAATAAAATTGTATACAAGAGATCAACCAGCACAAAGCAAATAACAGTTTATCAGCAAACTGTGCTGGTACACGAGCTCACGCGAGGTGCCTGTAGATGCTTGGACCCTTGAAGACACAGGGTATCAATGCTTGACAGCAAGGCAGGAAGACTCTCCAGCAGAGAAACTCTACCTCCTAAGAAGATGGACAACCAGGCAAAAGGCAGGTAGCTGCCAGTGGTATATATGCAGTGGTATATATATAGAGGTACTGGTGTTCAACTGCCCAGGGATCTTTACTAATAAACACTGATCATCAAGTTCAAGCTACACCAGACAGCATATACTGTGGTACGACAAGCCTGTGCATGGTCAGCAGCTATGAAAAGTGGAGCAAGGACTGGTGGGAAGAAGTCCAGTGAAAAGCAGTGGCATGCCTGGCACTGGTAGCTTGGAGAAGTTCATGTTCACCTATTCATCTGAGTGGGGCTCTCTGTGGACCACTCTTCCTACCAGTCTTTCCTGGGAGATGCTCCTCCATAGCATTTTTCCAAGTCAGTGCTGATAAAACAGGGCAATGCACAACTCACTAAATGGAAACTACAGGAGAAGTTAAGGAAGACAGAGTTTAATTAGCTCCTTTGAAACGTGGCCAAGAGAGAAGCAATATACAAGACTTTCTCCTTTCTCCTATAATGTTTTTTTTATTCTATACTGATGAATAAAGGATTGGGATAAGGCAGGCTCTGCATTTTCTGTTCAGTTAATTTTAGCAGAAATTCTTATTTTTGGCTTAAGATTTTTTGCAACATAGACTGACAAGTTTTAATTGTCATTACAAAAATTAGGGAAGAGAAAAGAAAGAGATTGTTTTGTATTTTTGCCAAAACAAAACAAGTAAGTATTCAGTCCTGGGCTGAGTGAGTGATTTGCCTTGTGGTTTGCTGATTGATTTTTTTTTTCTTTCCTTCTTTCCCACCAGAAGCTGATTTTACCCCTCAGCTCCACAGTGCTCTCTCTAGCAGCAGTCTCCCTAGCATGCTGTGCAATGTATTTGTAAAAAGTAATAAAAAGTCAAATTTCAAACAGAAGCCTACAGTGGCTAATGCCAGGTTTAAATATGGACTCAGCTGCTATTCAAGTTCTAAAACTGGATCCATGTTTAGCACTTCCCTTGGCACTCAGTCTTACTCTGGTTTCTTCTCTGGCTGGCTTTAGTCGCTCTGTGTTCCGTAGAGCTCTCCCATTTATGTCCAGTGGTGCTTAGCAAAGAGCTCAGGGTACCCACTGAGTAAGAGGGGAAACAAAATTGCTGCCTGGCACAGACCACTTCCTCCACACCTCCTGTGCACAGGCTCTCACTGCTCTCAGCTTTTTGGTTAACAGTTGCTTTGCATTGTGCTCACACTCTGAGGAAGCAGATGCAGACCGAGTGAAAGAAGGGTGCAGTGCCAGCCCCCTTCCCCTTCCCCACCACATCTTGCTTCAACAAAAGGCTCAGAGGACATGTGGCTGTCCTGACTGACACACAGCCACACTGAACCTGGCCGGCCAAGT